CATGCACAAACGGACGCACAGATGGATGCACACAGACAGTCGGATGAAATGTATCTAACATGTATGATCTATGTACTCAATTTGAATGAAAACTGACAAAGCATGTCCAAAATAGGACATTTTCAAAAAACAAGATGGCTGCCAGTCGGCCATTTCGAATTGAATCGCTAAACCACTGCATGTGCATATGTCCCACATAAAGTACTAGGCACATGCAAAGAATGAACGGAATCGATCCGACGGATTCTGAAATACTACTCCGGAAGGACACACGGACGGACGTACAGACGGACGCACAGACGGTGCACGGACGGACGCACAGACGGACGCACAGAGACCGAATTATAAGTCCTCGTTTTCGGACAACAAGAATTCTGACTGGTGGATGTAACAAGAAACAGTATAGAATATAACAAGAATTCTGATTGGTGGATGTAACAAGAAATATTAAGGAATATAACAAGGATTTTGATTGGTGAATCTAACAAGAAATATTATAGGATGTAACAAGAAATCTCATTGGTGTATATAACATGAAACAATAGCTGAAATCAGTTGTAACCATCATAAGCAAATCAATGTAGGGAGACAATGAAGACACAAAAATTGCCAATTTGCCATGTTCACCAAGAATTACCTAATCAAAGGCCGTTAAAATAATAACTAGTAACTTACTCATTAGATTTTCTCAAAGTGTCATCAATCCATTGCAACTGTGCTTGAGCAGCAGCTGGATCTACCGGTCCATCCAGTTTAGAACCTGTTATAGCATCATCTGTGTTTCCACATATTATAATAGTATCTATCATCACCACTAATAATGTTTTAGTAGAGTTGCCAATACTGAAAACTTTGCTGTAATTGGTGTCAGGAAAATTCCTAAAAAAAAACAACAACACATTTTTTACGATATCATTATTTCGTCAAATTCATATTGTACGAAACATGGTTGCTACATAGTGGACTAAGTGGATATCAATATTTAAAATGCAGTCTAAGTTAACAAAATAATACTATCAGACAAAGAGCATCATCA